CATATATATATATATATTGAATATTTTACGAATTGTATATTTTGAGGTAAATCAACAAACATTCATTGAAAGTAATCGATGCGTTACTTCATTGAACTTTTTGTCCAATAATTATTGTGTAATTCATTCATTCTACAAGATGTTAGCTATTTTTTTCGTAACGCTTGTTCGCCAAGAATAATAACGAGTAAAACCATTAATGCCTGAATATACGAACATGGTTCTTTAAGCACGTTCAGAAATATACCTACTTTTATTTGGTAGATGAATCATGAATAAGCATCTTGTATTTGTCAAAAATACTACTCGTATAGTGAGAAGAAAAACCAGATTAAGTTGTAATTATGTATGTTTAGATATTAATAACGTTCATGTTATTGCATTAAAAAATTATTGTAATATGATGTATATATCAAAATGAATTAAAGGAACATTTTTTTATCCCACAGGTATATACATGTACTTACGGTTTTTAGGATTAATAATGTCCTTGTGTGTCCTTCACAATTCTTGTATGTACATCGGATGTCCCTATTGAGGATGTGCATCATTTTAAACATGAACTTAGAGATATAAGTTTATCTCTGCTTTTTATTGCGTTTAATTATCGTGAACCTCGTTGGGAAATGTGATTAAATTTGATTTTTATAACATATTCAGTAAAAATTGTGTTATATAAAATTCAAACAATAACTAAATTTTGTTTTGCGAAACTAAAGGTGCTTCTTGCTACTAGTTAGACCAGCATTATTTGATTGTCAATGCAAGATACTAAGGTGTAATACTACACGATTGAATTTACAACAAAATGTTACATAACTGAATGTAGCTTTTGTATCGAATGACGAATAATATGTTTTTCAATCACTTTTCGTAACAGCATAAATTCGTTGAATACCTTAATCCCAACCGAAGAAGAAGTTTAATGAAAAATCAAGCATTTTCTATATTTATACAAGGCTTAGGTGTAATTATTAAGATTTTCTCAGAATGTATGTACAAAATTTAGTGATTCTGCTTATGTATATATGTGCATATGCCATTCCATCAGATAATTTTCAACAAAACATGAATGTCTCTTATCAGCTCGCGTATGCGCTCGTACCATTTGCAGATAATACGAGATTTATGTACTAAAAATACAGGAATTCAAGCACGAACTAAAGCATAGGTATACCTATTTTACGCGATACAATGACGTGAAAATGAAAACGTAGAATTGTCTCCTATATTAATTTACAAACCGATCAAGAATTCGATCGTACAACATAAAAATTTATACAACGATCTCGATTATTGCTATTGTGAAAGCGAAATGTATTAAATGAGGAACGCTATTGTACGAGTTGTTTGCTGTTATCGTGATCGCACATAATTTCCCACGAAAAGTTCCCCGAGCAAGAGTCATACGTTTGAACTTTGGCGATCGGTCGGCTAAAACGCGAATCACAATTCGACAATCCGGTGCACAGACGCACGGCCAGAATTTCCAGTTGCATACGACTCAGGAGGAATGATACAGAGTGGGGTGGCATACAATTTCACGGCTTGTACAACGAAGCGTCGACAGTTCGTCACGACGACGAATCGCGGGAAGATAATAACGACACCGGACAAACCTACCGGCTCGGTTAGTTTTCATTGATTGCGACCACGCTTCTTATCGTACGGCGTCGCAAAACCGCTGTCACTTTTACATCGGGCGTGTACTTCTTAGCGGCCACTCTTTTTTTTCCTTTTTTTCTTATTCCACTCTCCGCTTCTCTGTTTTTTTTCTCCTTTTTAATTGACGCCAGCGACGTATCGAATCTGAAAGATTTCCTTCTCCAGTCTGTGTGCCAGCGACAGTCACGTCCTTCATGAAACTCGTCGCACGTCACAAAGCAGTGACGTAGAGTTGCGAAACGGCGAGAGACGAGGCATAGACGGTGAAACGAAACAATCGGGATGTTCACGTTGCTCGAGTTGTTTATAAATTCTTTTGACGCGTTTTAACACGCTTCACCTGTTGTTTCTCTCTGTTTTTTTGTTATTTTTCAATACGATATGATCTTCGACGAGGAACGATAAAACATCGAGAGGCAAGTCTACTTGCGTGGAAATTCCAGTTCCAGCTGCGGCCTTCGGGAGTCGCGTCGGTAATTGTAGAATCGGTATACTGTGCGTGTAAGTGTGGTGTATAGTAGACGCAGACAGTTCTGATTTGATCGTGAAAATTTTCAAAGAGTTCTGTTCATCGAGATCTCGTTTTCTCGAGCAACAAACGAAGAAGATTCATTTACGAGGACGCCATGTTGTTATAAACTGGTAGTGGACCAGGCGTTGGCAAAGTGACCGCGGACAACAGAAACGATGATTTGTACAAGGTAATTCACTTATGATTCAGTTCGTTTGTGTTTGTATTTATAAAGGAAATGGGTCTGGGAAATTATCCGCTTAATTCGATCATTTCTCATCGATGTTGTATTCTTCTTTTACTCCTGATTATCATTCTTGCTGTCATCATCTTCACATCATGTTTAGTGCATCCTTTATCTATTGTTTCCATTGTATATACATCTTGTTTGCATGTTCTTGATTTTTCAATTCTGTAGCTTGTCGTATTCAGCATTCCACGATTGCGTAAATTTCACGTTATTAACATATTTCACGATGTTTCACATAAAATGATGAGTAGCTGAAACAGAAAAGTGAAACGTGTTTTGTCTTAAAAAATTCTACATTTGCAATAGAATAGAACGGTTTAGTTGTGTTTCTCTTTGTGAAATATCTTAGACACAAAAAGACAGTTCGGAATAAACGTAAATGGAAAAAAATCATGTCTTCCGACATTTTAAAATTAACATTTTCTTGACGTGAATCGTTTTATAAACTGATCAGAAATTTATGACATTAAGTACATTCATCAACTTAACTATCGATAATGCGTTTCTTAGAAATCCGTGGGAATAGAATTTTCACTACAAAAAGAATAACCTGCAATGTCATTAATATTTATAATACTTAATATAATACTTTTGCTTTCCCAAATCACAGTACAAAACGTCGATCAATTTAAGTAACTTTGATAATTCTACGAAAGTATCATTGCTTGTGCTAATATTTACGTTGTTCAGTCACTTATACAACACATGAGAAACTTCGTAAAGTGATATGCAAAGTATCCTAGATAGATTTCACAGAATACACCTGACTGCACGAATCATAGTTGATTAACCATTAATAAGAAGTATTTATCTGTTAAGTCATATCTCAATTAAATGAAAAATTCGTTATTATACAAGAAATACATTGTCGCTAAATATTATCGCGTATATTCGTGTTTCATTATCGTTATTTAAGTTATCGTCGTTACGTTAATTTATCCTTAATTATGTTTCACAAGTTCTTCATTGATCGATAGCATTCATCGATAACACGATCTTATCACGTTGAATCATTTTTCTATAAGAAAGGAGTGTCATTTGCTTATGTAAATCGTGTGCAACTCACGATGCATGCTAATGTTATTGAAATGTATCATGATCGTCAACTATGATTATTAACCGCATCTGTCGACTTCATACAGGTAAAATCATATTTTGTAACTATACAAAATTTCGTGACGTAGTAGAAAGACTCGCTCTAATTTCTACAGTGCATGGCTATGGTGACATTGGTGCAGCAGCATCAGCAAACTACATTGGACGAGAACCGTTGCCAGAAGGAACAAGATCAGATCAGTATTACCACTATCGAAAATTCCGACACCGAAAATTCTCACGGTGAGATTGTACAATCACAAGCGGTAAAAGACAACACCGCGGTCACTGTTGCCGGAAATGGTAGCTTCGCCGGATCCTCTACGCAGTGCAGTGACGTAGAAGAGGACAATGATGAGGACGATGATACGGATATCGAAGAAGGAGAGTGGATACCTGATTTACCTGTGCCAGCGGTGTTTCAGGCGCATCAGCAAGTGATAACCGCGGATGGTAACGTGGTGCTACCAAACGCAGATACCTCGAATTTCGGTGATGTGCGCGTAAAGAATTCAGCTAACGTGCATCTTGGTAACAAGACCTTTTACAAGGGTCCAGTGACAATAAAGCAGTTCGTTTACACGAGCCCAACCTCGATACAGGAGCCAATAAGTGTGGTGAAGACCAACAATGGTCAAACATCGAGTGTTAACACGTCTGACTTGCCCGCTGCTCATGGAGACTCGACTGCGAACTCGATCTTGTCGCAAAACTCCGTTTTGTGTCTCGATAAAGGTAATTATTTTAGGAGCTTGGTAGATGAGATTTGTTTTATGCCCGTTGGATGGAGTTTTGACGAGGAACCGTGAGGGTAAAATCTAGAGTGGGGGTAAAATCCGTTAGGTCATCTGTGGTATAGGTTTCTTCGTTTAGTTATCGGAAAGTAAAATAACCGTTATATTGAGAAAGATATTCAAACCTGGATGTTTGTCTTCTATTACCTTTTTTTCTTTAAATCGGTGGCATTTAATTTGCTTCAGAATAGATCGGTACCCTTGTTATCTACGTCATTTAACTCATAAGTAGAAATAGTTAACTATGCTAACTATAGGTAGATGTAGTTTTGAAGGAAACCAATCGGTAACCCGCCAGACCTTATCGATCGTATTTTAACAGCATGTGAACATTTGCTTTCGCACACTTTATCTAAATTAGCCGTGGCTAGATTTACAAAGGGCCTATGTGAATTTTTATAAATGAATATTTCTTTTATCAAATCCACGAGCTTCTGGTGTTTATCAATGATCGTATGTTATCTTCGTGCGATTGTTAAATGAAGTTGATAAAAATCAACAGGAAGTAGCAATAAATTTATCCTGCTTTGATATTTGTGTCGAGGAGATTGATAATACATTTTTATACGTACGATACCTCGGTATGGGATCATCTCGTGTTTATTCGTTCTTTTATTACTTTATAAGATGGTCTGTGTTTCCGATTTTTCTACTCGTTTCTATTGTTATGTCAGAATAAAAGGTACGTACTTCTGATAACTGTAATCTTATTCAATGTTAATGTGTGTAATCTACAGATTAATTAGTACGATTTTATTTCATTTTTTCACTTATATAAATATTTTTATTCTGGCATAGATTGGTGGGAATATGCGTGCTGTAAACTTAGAACGGTTCCCTATTGTAAAACAGAAAATGACAACAGTAGATGTAAGAAATTTTCAAGAAAGGATTAAACATATTTTTTTTTAAGAAAAAAAATTATACAAATTATTTATAAGCATATTAGTAGTATGTAAAAATGTACTTATTTCTTTTTGTTTTTCGTAATATTTTTATGTTATTTTAGTGACGAAATGGTTATGGACCTGGCGATGTGCGTCGCTTTTGTGTATACTAGCTTTAATTCTTGCAATTTCTGTGATCGTCGCCAGTGTATATACCGGGCGCGATCTTCCTGTTTACCCGGAAATACCAAGTCCTATTCCGCCAAATGGTATTAATTATATGTATATTTCTATTTTTCTTGATCATCAGATATCACTATATGCTTTCTTACTATTCTGTTCATATATTTATTTATTGATCAATCTGAATATTAATAACATATTAAAAATTATTACAAATTGGACGTATTTATTGCCTGTCGACAAAGTACATAAAGATAATATAACGTGATAGTATGTTAAATAATTATTAAATCGCAATATTTAAATTTCAGGTAACGTCCGTTTCGTTCCGCGACAAGAATGGGGTGGTCAACCACCTGAAGAACCATTACTACCGATGAAACTTCCCGTTCCGTACGTGATTATCAGTCACACGGCAACCGATTTTTGTTCGACGCAATCGGCATGTACATTGCACGTTCGATTTGCACAAACGTTTCACATTGAATCCAAACACTGGTCAGATATCGCTTATAGTTTTCTTGTTGGTGGTGATGGACTTGTATATGTTGGCCGTGGTTGGGACAAAATGGGTGCACACTCCTTTGGATATAATAATATAAGTATAGGTATTTCTTTTATCGGTACGTTCAATACCGTAGAACCACCAAAAATTCAACTGGTCGCTGCGCAACGACTTATCGAGATAGGCGTAGAAGAAGGTAAAATTGCACCGAACTATAAATTACTAGGACATAAACAAGTATCTCGGACTTTAAGCCCTGGAGATAAATTGTACAGTATCATTCAAACTTGGCCTCATTGGTCGCCAGAGCCATAAAATTTGTACAATACAGTATATCAATAGTATCTCGAATTTATTAGATCTCTTTTCTTTTTATTATTTAAAAGTCTCGCTACATATTTCGATAATTTTAAAAAATTATAAGAACATTTAAAGTATTGTTATATAAATCCAATATTGAAATTTTTTCTCGCATTTTTGTATAATAATTTAAATAAGTAACATCATTGATAAAATGACGAAAGTGTTTAAATTATTCATCAACGACAATTTGAAGCGTGGCATTTAATGTAATTCGATTGTAAATCAATCTACAAATATTTAAGCACTTACTATAATGTGAAACAAGATATGAATGTGAAAAATGATACAGAGATCTCTTTATAGATTAGTTAAAAAATATTCTGTAAAAATTTTATATTTTTGACTGTAA